AATGACCCGATTAACAAATGGGCAGAGGATATGAAGAGACACTTCTCCAAAGAAGAAATTCAGATGGCCAACAGGCACATGAAAAGATGCTCCACATCGCTTGTCATTAGAGAAATGCAAATTAAAACCACAATGAGATATCACCTCACACCAGTTAGGATGGCCAGCACCAAAAAGACTAAGAACAACAAATGATGGCAAGATCCGGAGAAAGGGGAACCCTCCTACACTGCTGGTGGTAATGTAAGCTAGTTCAACCATTGTGGAAAGCAATATGGAGGTTCCTCAAAAAACTAAAAATAGAAATACCATTTATCCCTGGAACCCCACTCCTTGGAATTTACCCAAAGAATACAACTTCTCAGATTCAAAAAGACATATGCACGCCTATGTTTATCACAGCACTTTTTATAATAGCCAAGATATGGAAGCAACCTAAGTGTCCATCAGTAGATGAATGGATAAAGAAGATGTGGTACATGTACACAATGGAATATTATTCAGCCATAAGAAGAAAACAAATACTACCATTTGCAAGAACATGGATGGAGCTAGAGGGTATTATGCTCAGTGAAATAAGCCACGTGGAGAAAGACAAGTACCAAATGATTTCACTCATTTGTAGAGTATAACAATGAAGCAAAACTGAAGGAACAAAATAGCAGCAAACTCACAGACTCCAAGGGGGAGGGTTGTTGGAGGGCGGGTGGGGAGAGAGGGAGAAGGGGACTGAGGGCTATTATGTTTAGTACACATGGTGTGGGGGATCATGGGGAGACAGTGTAACACAGAGAAGGCACATAGTGGATCTGCGGCATCTTGCTGCCCTGATGGACAGTGGCTGCTTTGGGTTATGGGTGGGGACTTGATAATATGGGTAAATGTAGTAACCACATTGTTTTTTCATGTGAAACCTTCGTAAGAGTGTATATCAATCATACCTTAGTAAAAAATGAAAGAAGGGAAGGGAAGGGAAGGAAGGGAAGGGAATGGGAGGGGAGGGAAGGGGAGGGAAAGGAGAAAAACATCTTATGGAAGAGACCTAGAGTCTTTTAGGCTCCTAATGGGAAAACTGGTAAAAATCAGGGTAATTCTCACGGCTGTCCTCTACATGAGAGCTGAGCTGACCCAAAAGAAATCCAGGCTTCATGGAAGTGACCACAAAAATGCTTAACAAAAGCTCTAAAGAGGAAACTAAAAATGACAATAAAGTTGTATTTCATGAAATTTCAAAGTCAATACTCAAATCAGTGTTACTGAGGAAATGGTATTATTATTTAAAGATAAAGACAGCATATGATTTTTAAGAGAAAGAAGCTTATGACAGAAATAGCCTATCTTTTCTAAAAAATGGTAATGCTAACACTTAAAAGTGTTTCGAATTCTCTTACTTAAAAAAATGAAGTGTGAATTACAGGTATGAGTTTTGCACCATAAATAAAATCTGGCAAATAAGCCTTTAACTTGTTCTCATTTTCATCTCAACCAGAACTTAAAAAATAACACCTTGATCTACAACAGTGCTCCTTAAAGTATGGCCCACGGACCACTGCCAGTGTGCAGGCTGCCTGTTCACGGTCTGTCACAGGGTAAGGATGGAAACCGAGATAAGAATTACAAAACTTCTATAGCACTGTGACAGAGTGATTTTTATTCTGAATCTAATAAAAAATTATTGATCTTTTCCAATTTTATTTTTCTAGTTATTCTTTTTTATTTTATTTTACAAAAGTGTTGGCCATTATATAAGGAGCACTGGTATAAGCTCGACTTTAGAACATGAAGGTTAGCATATTACAAAGAAACTTCTGATGACAGAAATCATAAAAAACTTCTGTTAGAGAAGAGCTCAAAATTCTTGTGAGTGTATTAACCATGGAGAGAGGCTAGGGGGAAATATTGTATCAAATACACTCAAAGTACTCAGCAGGAAAAACAGGAGCAGTGATTGTGGAGGAGCATCCGTCTGTCAGGTGACGATGTGTAACAGGTGTCTGCATACTTACTGGCCGACTCTATAAACTTGGGGTAGGCATCATATGTGATGAGCGGAATTGGTAAATCCCTGAAGTACAGTTTCAGTGCACCAGTGATAATGTTGATATCTTCATACATGTTAACAGAAATATCTGCTTTCTCACCATCTTTGAAGGACGTTAAAAGAAACAGTAAGTAAATATATGGATTCACATTTTTGTATATAGTTTTTAAAGATTAGCAATGTCTCAGGTTTTAATATCAAACTTAAGTGTGCTGATAGATACAAATCAATTTTCTGTGAAAAATAAAATCTACTTTTTCAAATTTTCTATTCTGCAGTTACTGATTTTTTTCCATGTTTAATTATGGAGAATTATAAAACTTAGTAGGAGAGAAGTAGGAGATGACAACAGAAATATTTTTAAATTTCATAAGAACTTGTGAATTCCTAGGGGAATAATGTGGCATTGCTCTTCCTTTCTTTTTAAAATAAACATAGAGAATGTGAAGAATAACAACAGAGGCACTCCCAAATTGCAAAAGGCCACCTTTGATTTACACTAGGTTACACATATGTTTGGATCTTGCCTAAGCCCTGGGTGGAGGGGAGGTAATGAGAAGTAAAGGAGCAGAACAAAAAAACTTGAGTGTTAAAATAATTACAGAAGAAATTATAAAATAGAGGAATACTTTGGAGGTGCTGGGCCCTAAGGCTCTCAAGCAAAGCTGTCATTCCTTCAGAGTGGCCCCCTTTGCATTCTTCCACATTTAGTACTTTGTTCAAATACCAGCATTTTCATCTACTAATGATTTAATTAGTATCTACTGGATCTTATACTAGCGTTCTTTCATTCCATTTGGCTTGTGACAGATTTCTATCAGTTAAAAAGCAGCCTCTTCCCTACACAGCTCTTAGAACGGCTGAATTACACAACACTGAGAACAACAGATGCTGGTGAGGATGTGGAGCCACAGGAACCCTCACTCGTTGGTGGTGAGAATGCAAAATGGAGCAGCCACTTTGGAAAACAGGTGGTTTCTCACAAAGCTAAACATATTCTTGTTAACCATCAATCACACAAGATCTTAGGTATTTACCCAAGGGAGCTGAAAACTTATATCCATACAAAAACCTGTAAATAAATGTTTATAGCAGCTTTAGCCATAATTGCCAAAAACTTGGAAACAATCAAGATGTCCTTTAATTGGTAAACAGATAAACTGTGGTACATCCAGAGAAAGAAATATTATCCAGCAATAAAATGAAATGAGCTATCAAGCCATGAAGACATGGAGGAACTTTGAATGCATACTGCTAAGTAAAAGAAAACAGTCTGAAAAAGCTATTACAACTCTATGACATTCTGGAAAAGGCAAAACCATGGAGTCTGTTAAAAGGTCAGTGGTTGCCAGGGGCTCAGGGGGAGGAAGGGAAGAAAGAATAGGGGAACACAGGGATTTTTATGGTAGTGAAAGTTCTAGATGACACTGTACTGGTGGATACATGACATTATGCATTTGACAAAACCCATAGAACTGTACAATGTAAAAAGTGAACTTTAGTGTAAACTGTTGACTTTGGTTAGTAATAATGTATCAACGTTGGTTCATCATTGTAACAAATGTACTGTACTAATGCAGGATGTTGACAGGGTTAACTGTGGGTGGCATGAGGAAGGGAAGGGTTACATGGACTTTGTACTTTCTGCTCAGATTCTCGGTAAACCTCAGACTATGTAAGTCTACTTTTTAAAATTTTAGGACAGTTTTAAACAACAGGTGTTTATTAAGCAAAATAAGTACACTCTCTCACAAGAAGGGTGGAAAGCAGGCTGACCGGAAACTAGAAGCAGCCAAGTCTTTTTTTTTTTCTTCTTACTTTGGCCTGTCAGACATTTACGTTCAAGTGTGAATTAGATCATCCGTCTTGGACTTTTCGCACTTGGGTTGAAATCACATGCACTGGCAGTAGAAATATACTGTTTTCTGGAAGGAAAAGGCAATGCAGATCACCTCACTGGGGGACCTTAGGGAAGCGCACGGGTGCTGAGGGCCTAAGGACCTGGAAAGGGTGGGAGCAGAGTGTAAAGGAAGGCAGAGAATGACAAAGGCAAACTGCACCACTGTCAAAATTTTTCCTCAGGAAAAAGGAAAGGAAGTTAAAAAAAAAAAGTAAATGGTATTCTCTCCTGCCACATGGCTCTTGTATCCAGTATCTGTAAGTCATTTTTCTATGAGGGTCCAGATTTCAAAAATCCTGTCTCATTATACACATCCGATTTTTGGTTTGTGAAAATAAAGTCACCATTCTTATAGTTTAGTTACATGACGGGTTGAACAAAATTTGGAGTTTGGTTTGGGAGCCTTCTATCATTCAGGTAGTTTTCTCTATGCTAAGATATTGTATTTGTTCTACCTTAGTCCACTCTCCTTTCCTGTGTTACTCTCTAAGCCACAGCACCTTTCAGTGGTTTGACAAGGACAGGCTCAGGGCCTTTACACAGAGACTTCTGTTTCTTTGCTTCTCAACCAATACACAGCCAGTTCCTAGTCATTCTTTAAGCTGTAGCATAAATGCACAAATACTTCTTTGGGAAAGCGTCTTCTGATGTGCAGTATCACCTCCCAACCCTGACAGAGTAGGTTAAATTCTCCAGTTGTTAATTATTTTCTTTTATGGCATTTAGTCATAACAATAACCACTGTGTGATTATTACTTAATGGCAGCCCTTCATGAGTACAAGGAGCAAGTGTACATGGTTAATTGCTGTATCTAGGGTACCTGGCACAGAATAGCTGTTAAATATGTTTGAGTTAATGAATTAACAGAAAACAGACTTTAAAAAGCTAGGAGCCTAAAAGAGTAATACTGTGGGACTCATTGTATTATTATTCAACTGGTTCTTTTAAGATCTGATTCTTGATAGGAATCTCTATATTCTTTTCCAACTATTTAAAAATAATGTAAACACATTCTGGAATTTGGTGTTCAGACACTACATTCTAAATAGGGCTATAATGCAGCATTCTGTAACATTTTTTTGTTCCCTGATTGTTTCATTATTTTCGGCTTCTGACTCCTCAGCCAGATGAGGGCTCTCCCAGGGTGAGGCTCAAGGGTTTTTATTTGCTTTGATATTCCCATGGACCCTTGCTGTACCGGCATATGTTTTTATTATTTCCTCTTGACTCAAAGATGGTGATGAGGATGCACAGATGACAGGCAGAGTTAGGTGGGCCAACTCAAACCTAGGAAATCTGGGATCTGTAATGACTGAGATTCCCCCACACTTGTTTTCTCCATGATTTTTGGTGAATTTAATTGCTGTATATATTTTCGTGAACACACACCAGCCTTGGGTACTCAAATACTAGTAATATAGTTAAATTTCTTTCTTGCCCTGAAATTTAACAGTTTATTACTTACAACTGAAAAAGAAATAAAAAAAAATTATAAGCTAAGTCATTTTTATATAATAATCATCGATGACTTAGAAAAATAATTCAAAGAATAACATAAGAAATGGTGCCTTTCCCAAGGTAATGGACATGCTGAAGAACAAACCTCTGTCAAAAGCCATCTTGACATCTTCAATTAGGTCACTGAATCCTGATACTCGGTACAGCCCTTCAGAGTTAAGGCCTATAAAAATAAAGCAAGGATCTAATTAATTTGTTTGGAATTATGACTTCTCTTCAAATTTTAACTTCTTCCCATATTTCAGGCTGGGGAAGTTCTAGGTCAGAAAGAATGATGAAACATACTTATTTAGAAAGCCCTTTGCACTTTTCTAAAAGAAAACCCTTTCACTCACAGTTCTTTAACTTGGACCTACTGTCACCTGGATATTTGTAATTTACCTCATCACTGTGTCTAATTAGATCAAATATATTGAGTCTTAAGGGAAATAATTCATCATCCCACTTAACACCCTAAATTCCATTACATAACAGAAACTAAGATTTTCCCAAGTGGGAAAGAATAATGAGGGCGCAGCTCTGGTGTTTGGCTGAGGACAGTTTTAATAAAGATTTACACCTTTGCTTCTTCGACCTAAGAAAAATACAAAAACTGAAAAGTGAATTGGTATCTGTATGTCAACTATTACAGATCTGAAGCATCATCCATAAACACATTTTTATATTTCCTATAACTGGTTAAATGTACTTTAAAATCAAAGCTGGTTTATTACTTGTTAAATTAATTCAGTTCAGAGATTTCAGGTCATTTGACATCTGAAATCATCCCCCCCTAATTTTACACAGGACAACCAGGTTATGCAGCAAGGCACCCATAATGGCATTAGGGCACATTCATGGTGAATTATGAGTGCTCTGAACTGCACTGGAAATGCCTCACCTCTGGATTCAATTTCCCTGATGCACATGTCCACCACCATTGGCCGCTTAGTGATATGAGCTTTTACAAGTGTTGTGAGGTCACAGCTGTACACTTTTTTGACATGTTTCAAGTCTGGCTTACAGTCGTTTGGAACCATCTTGGAACACTGCTTATGAACATTCAAACCACAATCTGGAAAAAGAAAAAAAGGAAAGGAAAGATTCATTATTGTTTTCAGAATTGTGAGCATTCTGGAGTGTTTATTTTAGCAAAAGATACCCCAGCTTAAGTTAAGTCTAAAAGGGGAATTGCTTCTAGCAATTCCTGCAGAAGGGAAAACATTTTCCCCCTCTTTTCTCCTGGAAAATTTTGGTTTTTAGTCAGAAGACCAGAATTCTAGTTTATGCTTCATCATTTACTGGCTCTACCAACTTGGGAGAATGCCAACCCAAACCAAACTAAACTTAATATTTTAAATAAATGTCTATAAAATGTAATATTAGGCCAACTAGCCAACTAAAAATGTATCCACTTCTTTCAAGTTACATAAAAATTACACTCCATGTGGGCTACACTTGCATTTTAATACATCTGATATGAGGTAGAACTGGACCTCCACAAGAAAGAGCATCCCAGGGCCTTCTTAAAATGGTGCTGCTCATATTTATATCTTTTCTTAATCGTTGTATCATATATAGATAAAATAATAAATATGCAATTCACCTAGTAGCCTAAAATGACTAGAGCTAGTATTTGTTACTACTATTATTGCCACCTTATTAATGCCATGCACTGTTTCAAGTGCTTTACATTTATTATTTCATTTAAGTTCACAAAACTCCATGAAATAGGTACTAGTACTCTTCTCATTTTATAAACCTGATGAAGCTAAGCACATAGTAACTGGTTTTGTAATTTACCCAAGGTCATGCATTTAGTATATATTAGAGCTGAGATTCAAGCCTACGGATGATTCTACAGTCCACAATTTTAACACCTATACCACATTACCTCTACTGCAGTTATTCCTTTGCTCTGTAATTTTACTGGGTTCTAACTTCCAAAATGTCAGAATCCAAATATTTTCTAGTTAATATTTTGAGATATTTTATTTTCAACAAGAGCACACTGAACTTTGGAAGGGATAGAGAAGGCTAAAAATATCCTGCTAAATTAGATTGAAGAGTAATAAACCACAGCTGAATAAAATAAATGTCATTATGTTTTTAAGAACATAACCCATTTGTTTCTAAGTTCATGAAAACTTGATGCTGACCTCTTGTAAATATGATACAGGTGGTGTACATACAGTTTATAGCCAGGTCTTAATGGAACCAATTTGAAAATCATGACGCCATGACCACTGTCTGTGGTCCTTGGGCAAGCTCCAGTTTTGCTTGCTGTTTTGGCAGAAAGGGGAGTATAACATTTATCTTGCAAAATTGTTATGAGAATTAATGAGCCAATGCATTCAAGATGCTTTGCATATTATACAATGTTAAGACAAATGCTGGCGATCATCGTCGTCATGACTTCTGGTAAAGCTGTGATCTAGCTATAGATGGTAGTAACAATTAACGGAGACTAAGAAAATTAGCCTAAACGTATAAACTGAATTGTTTTCATTATATAGACACTCAACTTGAAGTAAGAACTTAAGGCCTGTGGTGACTCTAAGGTAGGAATTCATATGTACTGAGCACCTCCCACGTGCAGAGATGGGTGAGGTGTAGAGGGAAGTTGAATCCTTGCACGCGTGTAAGTGAGCGGCACTGGAGAGGGCATGGTTAGTGCTAAGTGTCCAGAGGTCGTCGTCACAAAGAGTAACAGCTTCTTCCTTGAACATAAAGGCTTTCAGAGCAAATTGCTTGATCTATATATAGTACCTGAAAAAATGACACAAAACCATTCTGTACAGTTAAATAATATCCAGGTGACTATATGATCCAATGCCCCAATTCCTCTTTATGTCTACATTAGAAACAGGTACCACTTCTAACTCAGTTGTAAGGCAAATCAATGCAAAATGTCCACTTAAAAGACCTTCTTTCCCCTGGACATTTTAATATTTTATATAACTTACATAACTTGGAGTTAAGGTCCACGGTCTATTAACTATGCAATTTTGAGTGAGTTACCTAACTTTTCTTTGCCTTAGTATGTAAAAGGGGAAAAAGATTTTCTTTATCTATTATTAGGTTCTATTGTTATCAACCTATTATTAAGGTCATGTGAGGCTTTAATATTAATATATGTAAAGTGCTTACACATAGTAAATTCTAAGCATTTAGCATGACTATGTTCTTTTTGTTATTATTTAGAAGAATAAAATATTCTGAGAGGTCCTTCCTACATAGTGCCCCAGGATTCATTATATGGCATAGTCATAATCGGCTTACAATCAGAAGCTAAGTTGAATTCTAGGCCAATTCTGTGTTTGTCAGAATTGATAATGCATGTGTGAGTGCAGGTCCTGAAAGGACTTGGTTGACTGCAGGTATAGAAGCTTCCTCATCTACACTGTTCTTAACCCACTTCATTTACATAAAACTATCTCCAAGTAAATATGTAATTTTTCTGACTGCTTTTACCAAATATGGGGAATTTTCAGGTACTATTTTCTCAAAGAGTTTTTGTATCTCTTGGGCCCCACCAACACAAATGTTAAATCTTTTGTTATTGACCTACACGTCTCTGAGGTTTGGTTCACTTTTTAAAATTTATGTATCTCTGTATTTTTTGAATTGGATAATTTAAGTTCACAGATTCCTGCCTCCATCATCTCCATTCTGCTACTGAGCCCATCTGGTGAGTTTATTTGTTAATAAATTTTTCAGTTCTAAAATTTCCATTTATTTATTTCAATTCATAGGTAAAATAAATTTTATTAACATTTATTTTTTATAACTTTATTTCTAGTATTTTTTCATTTGTTTCAAGAGTATTTATAAGTACATGTTGGAGCATTTTTACTGCAGATGCTTTCCTTGTCTGATAATCCTAACATCTAAGTCATCTCAATATTAGCATCTGTCATCTTTTTCCATCTGAGCTGAGACTTTCCTGGTTCTTGGTACCAACTGTAATTTTGAACTGTCTGGATATTTTGAGGGTTACAAGACTCTGCTTCCTATTGAAATCTTCAATCTTTAGGTAAACAAGTAGTTAACCTGTTTAGATTTAGCATGCACATCCTGGTCACTTTTCTAGCCTGTGGTTGAAATGTCGACCTAGTTTACAACATCTCTGTAATGCTACTGCAGCGCTATTTTGCCTACCCTATCTGTATGTTACCCAAATGACAGGACTCTATCCCCACATTCGGGGAAGGCAAAGGGCCACCTCCTAGTTACTGCAAGGTGGAGACGGAAGCCAGGGTTCGCCCACAACCTGGTTAAGGAGGAATGCTCTGTGCATGGAAGGCAAAATTATGATCAGCAGCCTCATTTGCAGGCCAGGGATGAAAACGGGGCTCTGCTCATACACTCGGGCTGAGAGGGTGCTGCTTCTACTATAGGGTTGGAATGGAAGACAGGGTCCCAGCCGCTGGCTCAGCCAAGGAGGGGTACCACTTTCTTCCTGCAAGACAGTGATGGAAGACAGGCTCCAGATGCACAGGAGGGCAGTGCACCCTTGTTACTGCAGAGCCAGGTGGAATCAGGGTCCCTCCCAGACTGCCGCTGCAGCACCCACCGAGGGGCTGGCACCTACTGATGGGGGGAGCAATGTAGCTCTCACAGGGGTTCACCTGGAGAGCAGTAGCTATGGCTACAAGATTTCTGTCTAGCTGGGCTGCCCTTTTCCCAGGGCTTTGGCTAGGAACAGCAGGCTTCTCCTGGGAATATTTTTTGTCTGCCTGTTGGCATTTATCGTTTGCAGGCATCTCTAGTGCCTAGTGTGAACACAGAAGGTTAAAAGAAGCAAATCCTAGAACACTTCCAGGAAACTCATGCTGGGTTCCTTGAGTCCCGAGATCCCTAGTCAGGCTTCCTTCTTTTCCCCAACTTCCAGAGTCTTCTGATAGCTGATGTATGTATTTTGTCTTTTGTTACTACTATTGTAAGGAATAAAACAAAACATATTTATTCACCTTGTCCAGAACCAGAAAAATTCTTACATAGTATTTTAAAGGCATTAAAATCAGCAAAGTATCATAATCTAATAATAATGTTGATGTGCCGCTTTAAATGTGTACATCGAAGTCACAGATCCATATGGAAAGGGCTGTTGGTAAAAAGGGCTGTTGGTAACAACCTCTCTCCATGTCCTTATTACATCAACAAAGACAGTGAGGCACAGAACTCAATGACTCACTCGACCTACTCAGCCAGAAAGTATTTAAACTTTGGCTTCCTGATTCTCTGCCTGTGCTCTTACCGCTGAGTGATATATACCACTCTTCACCAGGAGTACACCATGCACCCTGAGTTACTCTTTAGCTGTTGAAGATGAATTTTTTATTTTCAACTTCTTATTCAATGATCTATGTTATACTTGTTATTTGTTGCATATACTTGAGTTTAAAAGACACTGCTATTTTACTGTTATAGAGATCTATATGTGATTTGGCAAGGACTTTTAAAAAGCACTGTTAAAACCTCCACATTATATATTTTTTTGTCATATTCTTTCTTAACTGTAAATGGAAACCCAGTAGAGAGCAAATCAGTAAAATTTTGATGCATCCACATAAAATCAAAACATCTGAATGGCATAGTCTGATATTAATTTTAACTTCTCTCCTTTGAATATTTAGAGTTATCTCCCATTTTAAACATCAGCAAGCTCCCAAGTTCAATTGTGACTCAGTGAAAATGAGATAAAGTGATAACTGAGCTCAGGTTTAGGTACTGAAGGAAGAGGGAAATGTTTTCAAAACTGACATTCCTTCTTCCGTTTGAGTGAGATTAAACGATGGGACAATGTATTCTTTGAATACTTAAGAAACAAACTTTAAAAGTCAAATTTTGGCAGAATTGGATATAAAGTCCTTTACAAGACCAAAGGACATGGCAAAGTCATTAAAATAAAGCATCTTTATACCCTTATTTCACAGTGCAATATACCAGCTCTGAGCTTGCTCTGAAAATTGCTGCTTCAGAGAAGAACAGTATATCAATATTTCAGTTTGTCATTAAGACTTTATTTGGTTTTCATACTTATTTATTAAAGACATATAACTCCTATATAGTTCCATTTCTCCCAGGGACGCTCTACACTATAAATGAAAGAAAAAAGTCCATAAAAGATCATTTCATTTGTTGCATCTCTTGGTTTGGTAGGGTTTTTTTTTATGTTACTATTAAACCACATTTCTCTCTCCCAATTCTTCAAGTTAATAAGCATAGAATAAACGTAGGAAAGGAGGAATGAAAAATTCAAATCACATTTTATTCTATTCTTTAATAAAATATTTCTATTACTTAGTCTAACTTCAGGCTACTCAGATTTTCTGGGGCTTGATTTCTTTTAAGAAACTTGCATGCTTTATATCTAGAAAGCACTGAAACCTATTTTTTGAAATAAATAGCTGATATTACTTATTCTATTGATTGGATTAAGGGCAATATTAATGTGTACTTTGAAAAAAAGTTATTCATTCTTTTCTACAAGTGTTTATATTTTAAATAATTGCAAATAAACGTTTTCCCTTTAATCACCTCTCTTAGCTGCCCCACCCGGGAGAAGGTGGAACAGCCCATTTCTAACACGCATCAGAGGTCATTGCTTTCACAAGCAAAATTAAGAAGAATGCCTTGCTCTTTGAGATATTTATGAATACTGCTTTCAATTAAAAGGGGCTACATGCAAATTTTAAGCAAGTCTGACCCAACTTCTCACTGGCTTACAAGGACAAACATAACTTCTTAGATACAGTCAATTAAAGCAGTTATTAATAAAAGATATTACTTCCACTTCTTCAACCTTAAAGTCAAATGCTAATATACTTGAAGCAATAAATACATTTTATTATTAGGAAAAATCTGCTATTTCCTTTTGGGGGGGGTGGCAGCAATGAAAATGATGCACTGGAAAAATGAAGTCACTTTAATAAACAACCAATACTAAGTAGGTCTTACAGCAATTATTATTGGGCTTAATTTCTTAGAATATTCTAGTAAAGCTAAAATGAAAACAGTTCAGAAATGCTGGTGGGATAATGAACGGCCTTTTGGTGGGAGGGATATTTGGAAATCTTTGTGATTATGTAACATGTATATATAATATATATTAAAACTAGATTAACCAATAAGCTAACATTTCATAAAGAAAAGAAAAATGGTTTGGAAAACTATCTGAACAATGACCTTTTGAACTTCACTTCTGAAGGCCATCCAGTCCGCGCATCAGTTAGTAGGAGGAGCGCCGTGCCGAAGCTGCAGTTAGATGCTCCCTTGCGACATCATTTTAGTCACTTTAAAAACAGCTAGAGTCAGGGACGTGGCAGGTGAGATGACGCCTCATGGAGCCTTGTGGGCGGGGCTTGAGATCACGCCTACGATGACTGGCGTTCTCACAGTGATACCTCCCACCCCCCAGCTGTTCTCGCCGGCTGTGGAGTGCTCAGCAGCAGGCCGGGAGCGTTCAGTCCCGCAGGCCGGGAGCGTTCAGTCCCGCAGGCCCTGCTTGCCTGTCAGCTGGATTCCCAAGGGTTCCTACAGTGACTCTGCCAGTCTGGTGACTGGAACACCACCCAGCACTTTACATAATGTTGCAAAAAGAAAAAAGGAGTGGTGGTGGATACAAAATTGCTGCTTTTGGCTAACATTCCTTTGAAACTTCCTGACAAGCTCTCTTCTGTCTTGGTGGAGTTTTGAAAAAAGAAACCAGAACAAAGCAAACTGTCTCAGGGATCCAACGCAGATAAATTCTATTTTTTCTGACAGGCACTAAGCCGGCCTTCTCCTTTGGAAGTAATTTCTTTAATGCTTACAGGGCATGTGTATTGATTTAATATTGTTGCTGTAACAAATCACCACAAACTTAGTGGCTTAAAACAACAGGAGTTCATCATCTTAGAGTTCTGGAGGTCAGAGGTCCCAAATCCATGTCACTGGGCTGAAATGAAGGTGTGAGCAGGCTGCATTTCTTTTGGAGGCATTAGAGGAGGATCTCTTCCTCTCCTGGCCTTTCCTAGCTGAGTGAGGCGGCCTGCATTCCTTGGCTCAGGGCCCCCTTTCTCCACCTTCAAAGCCAGGAGCATGGCATCTTTTCTCTCCTCTGACCTCTGCTCTGTCCTTACATTTTTTCTCTGCTCTGCCTCTTCTGCCTCCCTTTTATTACTGTGATTGTGATAGCACTGGGCCCACCCTCACAACCCAGGGTACTCATCCCTTCTCAAAATCCTTAACCTGATCACAGTCGCTTTTGCCATGAAAAAGTAACATATTCACAGGTCCCAGACATTTGGAAGTAGGCATCTTTAGAGAGCCACTGTTCAGCCTACCACAGTTAGTTGTCTCTCTCTAAATTCTTAATTCTTTGCATTCTGTTTAGATAAAGCAGACAGCTCAAAGGTCAGGATGAGCCACTTCAGATCTAAGAATCCTACTGCCAATCCAAATGTAATTAGTTGTCATAGAAAACAACTAATTCAAATACCAACCTTCCACATTAAAAAAAAATGGGTTGACTTGTTCTTTATTACACATTAATATGGATCAAGTCACACATAATATATTACTTTAAAGGACATGATGTAAAATGAAAAATGTCTACACTTTTCTTTCATTCCTGCTGTTTACTCACAAGGGAAGGCTATTAGTGTGGGAGGCTGGGATGGGGCGAATCATTTTCTTTCATAGTCTATCATATATGTTCCAAAACATTTCTTTCAAATGAGATTTGGGATTGTAGCATATTGCCAAAGATTGTTCACATGTGTTGTACTGATTTTCTGTTAATAGCTAGTTCAGAATTCTTATGTAGATGGCCTTCACTTTTTTAAAACATAAATGATATACATCATTACTCCAGTAAAAGAAAAGCTTTTAAGTGAGTGACAGTCCTAAGATATTTAAGAAACTGCTGCCGAGTCTCAGCTGGTCAAGGCTATTTCACAAAGGCCAAGCAGGCTTACTGAGACCATCATTTAGTGAGTAGGGGTTTTGTGCTTTGGAATAGAGGACTCCATTTGCCTGTGAAAAACCATAATAATGTAGACGGTCTTACACGAACTTTTTCAACATTATGTTCCACTGTGTTCTCCTCCAGCTTAAAGGCTCAACCATAGTCTTCCTGATGACAGTTGTTCATTCAGATTCTGGGTTACCTCTGGTCAGAACATTAACATCATTCTCATTTACTTTGCAGACAGAGGCTTGCAAATGGGGCTCTCAGCCCTCTAGAGAAACAGCTTGATGGGCACCTCTGCACAGTTCAGAGTGGACATGTGGAGAAATCTGATTGCTCCCCGTGGCAGGACAGTCCTTGAACAGATTTGGCTAGTCATGTATGCTGGCTGCTTATCATGCCTTAGGGAGAGGCTCAGGGGCAAAGCCTGAAAGAAGGGTGGCCTGGAACATTCACATCAATGCCTACTGCACTCTGCTAGTCAAAGAAAATGTAACTCAGAAATAAAAACAAACCCCAGAAGCTTCTGCACAGAATTGACAACAAAAATATTCTATTAAAAATCATGCCACAAAAGATATGTGGATTTTTATAGTAATAAATTTGACAGAATCACTAGTTAACATTTTTAAATACTTTACTCTTGGTATACATCTTAAGTGTTAAGCTTCATATTAAAAGATGCAGAAATGGATTTTTTGATTTTATAATTTATAACAGAAAGAAACTTATATGACTAACCACTACAGATTTCAAATTTAAATGATTATTTTAAGCCTATACCAGAAATTAGAGTAGTTTGAATAAATGGCCAGTACTCATTATAATTGTTCTATACAAATACATTTCATACAATGTAAAAACTACTTATTTCATAAAGCATTTCAATGAATTCCTAAGTTGATTATTTGCTTATGTGTAAATCTTAAAAGTTTCTAAATTTGTATCTAAAAATACTATGGTCATATTTTACAAAAAGGATTTGGTATACTCAAAATTTCAAAATGTCACAAAAAATATTAGTGACTAGGTGGTGTTTCAGTTTGGTAATCATCTTTGAAGACAAATTCACAGGTTTTTAATGCTTCAATCTGATTTCACAAATTTAGTAAAGACAATCCAGCTTAACAAGTTATCTTTAAAAATTCAGTTTCCAAGACAACAATCATAGGTCTCTATATACTGCTTTTAAAAAAATAATTTTTGTAAGTTTAGTTACTACAACATCAAAGGCAAGAGTTAAATATAACAACTGTCTTACTTTTATCTCCTTTTATCAGACTTTCTCAACAACTTGACTTTTTTTTAATGAACTAATATCAGACACCCAGTCTGCTGCCCATTTAAGTACAGGAAGGTTAAGGGCAGATAAAACATGAATTTCTAAAGTGGCTGCCTGAGAACTTAGCCTATTGCACGTGTGTAAAAAAGCAAACCAGGATCCAGCCCATTGCATGTACATAACAGCAAATCTACTTATAACTTCATAACTTACTCAATAAAGACAAAAGACAAAAGAGCTCTTACCTGCACACTTTACTCCTTGAGCAATGAGGCCCCACATGAAGTTGGCACAGTACTCACACCAGTGTGGCCCTCTGAATGTGTGGACCTGAAAGAGAGTAGTGACAAAGTGTTCAGAGGGGAAACACATGAGTGAGGAGATGGCTTTTGTCCACGCAGGAACGTACAAGCCATTGTTAATACTAAAAGGCACCATATGGTTACATTTAAGAACAACCTTGGTTGAGTGGAACTGAGAGTTAAAATTTCTTTCAGAGCTTGATTCCCTGTTGTTTTAGAAATGGTGATAAATAATATTCCACAATTTACTTTTGAAAACAATTTCTATGGTGGCATTTTTTCCCGACTGGTCCCCCCAACCTGTAAGCAGATGTTATCCAATATTCTGGCATTTTCTGAGTGCTATGGCATGAGGAAGGGGAAGGAGCAATATAGGGTAGGTCCGGGTGCTAAAGGATTTTATCAGATGTCACCTTCCGTCTTCTGTGACCAGTTAGGACTACAGAGGCTGCAGGTGTAACTTAGTGACTGGTCACAACTGAATCATCAAAAGGGCCAATTTCTGTTTAAAACCATTTGATACTTACTATGTTAGCAAAGAGAATGAATATTTTTTAGAAATTGTAGAAGCTACAGTTAATGAAAAACCCTGTTTGAGTATAGTTAATTATTCACTAATCATTCCAGCTCATAAAGGTTTTACTGCATTTGATCCCTAGGAAAGCAAATGCCAAAGAAGAAAGGGTCCAGACATTAAGATACCTACAGACTTTTATGTACAGGAAAGGGAAGGCATTCTAGCTTAACACAGATTAAAAAAAAAATTGGTAGCATAGAGAAGCAACTAATCCAAACCTCAAAAATTAAAGGACAAAAGGAAAAATTTGAATATTAAGTAATTTTAGTATTTCTGAGCAAACATTGGCTGAAAATGCACCCAAGTAAAAAGTTAAAAGGAGGCGGGAACAAGGACGTCACTGATCTGTTATCAAATCACCTTTGCTTGAGATAATTTCTTAGGTATATGATTTCCTCCTCCAGGAAACAGTGATACAAGAGAGTGAAAAGCACCAAGTGCGACGATCGTTTCTAACATAACTAACTGCTAACACACCTACTGTAAATAGTGAAATTCAGAGCTAAGACTGTTATTTTTACTAGTGATCTATTTGTGTATTGAATAGGTCTTAGAAACCAAGTAAATAATTTTAAGATACATTATGTATGTGTGTGTGTGTGTGTATATATATATATGTAATTTCTTCAAATTTAAGATGCTACTGAATGTAGACTTATACTGAATATAAGACACATATATTCAATGTAGAAAAACCATGCTAATTATGACAAACTATCAATGATGAGATAAATCCCAATTTCAGAGATGTTAAAATGAAAAAAAAAAGTATATATTAGAATCAATGAAATATGGTATATTAGAATTCAAACTACTATTATTGGCTAAAATATCCATGTAAAGTATCCACATCCATGGAATGGATAACTCAGAGCCCATCCTCAGTAGGTGTGTGCTTATGACTCTGCTGCTGCCAGGTGAGCTTGAATAGAAAACAACAGCGTTGATTTTGAAAAGATGGCCATAATTTCTTCTGTCTTTTATGAAAAGGCATTAGGAATGCAGACACAGCTGCTTCTGGATTGTTAATGCTTTGCAGAGCTTGTGAATTGAAAGCATTTCCTGGAGTTCCTTAAGCAGAGCCCCAAATCAGCATTCAGTCTGATGCCTTTGTATTTGTCTATGTTCCTCTGAGTGAATAAAACTAGATAAAGTATGCTATCTTGCTTTACTCTGAGGGGAGTGAGATAGCACTGACTCAAATTTTAAAAAGTTATATAACCATGTAATAGCTATAGAATTATTAAGTTATCTGTAGGGAAAGTCTTTGGGATACAAACTGGCTTATAGGTGGCCAAATCTCAGGACAGTCTAGTATCACTTAAATTGGTAAGGTTAATAAAAATGGACCAGAAGTGTGGAGGAAGTCCCAGTTTTGGACTACCAGTAATCGCATGATAAAGGGTCTCAAAGCTATACTGGGAGAGCCAAAACAGAGTAGAGGGGTGAAACAGGTAATTTAAACAAACAGGGCACTTGGCAAACAGCACTGAGTATTGAGGTGTTATGACAGAACCAACTCCTTTCCTCACCTTTACAAAAGCAGTACTGAATGTGGCATTTTTAAAGTCTTGGGACATTTCTTCATGATTATATATGAACTGTCTGAGCAGGCCCAATGTTCTCTAATTAAGGGATCACCCATGTATTTCAGAAAGCAATCTTTAGTAAATTATTTGTAAATTTCTTTCTTGAACTTCTTTTTTATAAAGGCATCCTGAGCCATTTGGAGCTGGTGGTGTTTTGTGTTTTGAACCACTTAGGAGGTAGCTTATATCTCTCTCCAGGAAACTGTTCAAGAAATAGGCACTGAAGCACCAGAAGCCTATTAAACTTCTATTTGTATAATAGGATTTAACTGGATTCCCTTTTGAATTTTTATAACTAAAATTCATATTCCTTAAATTTCATTCATTTTGTGACCTCTATGACTCTGTGACACTGGATCATGTTCACAAAAATTGACTATCGTAGTAGTCTTTTTTATTCCCCTAGAGGTCATCAAAAGCGACACTTCATTATTTGTATTCGTTCATAAACATTTATTAAGTGATAACACATATGAAGATAAAGTGGATATTGGCCCAAAGAATTCACTGTAGGTTTTTCCCATTGAATGCAGTGTGAAAATGCTCTACAATACGTATGTGTCTGAAAAGTGTGATGGAAGCTGGGGGAAGGGCCCTGCTCAGGCTTAGATGCAAGCCAAGAGCTGAGCCTTCTGTGCAGGGCCAGCCAGGGGACCTGTGGGGCAGAACGGGAGGTGTGTTTTGGGGCAAGGTGGCATCAGGAAAGGCCATCCCATGGAAAGCAAAGGTGCATGGCACACACCAGTTAATGGGATGGTCAGAGAACTGCAAGGATGTTCAGTGTGGGTGGGGCTGGGAAGACTGGCATGGCAGGAGATAGCAAGGCACGCATGGCCTTTTCAATGCCTACAGATTTATAATTTGCCCAGTGGGCAATGCCGGGCCACCAAAGATTTTTAAGGAGAGCAACACAGCGAAGCGGGCAAGGCTGGAATCAGACACTCAGCAGGATGCTCTGGCAGAAGTTCACGTGTTGCATGACATGGATCTCAACTTGGGCAGTGGTGATGGAGAGAAAGGGACGGAGACTTATTCAGGAGGCAGTCGTTATGCTTGGTAACTAACTGAACCAGAGGCAAAGGAGAGAGGAGGAATCTGGGCTAACTTAGGATTTGGGGCCTGGTGACTAGGGGAGGCTGACATTAACAGAGGGAACAAAAATAGAGGAATAAATCTGGAAAGGAGGTGGGAGGGGACCAGTGGAGGGGAGGGTTACTGAAGATTTCTGGAAAGAGGAGGCAACTCATGGTGGAAGGTTCCTGAAGGATTCGGATAGAGATGGGGTCCAGGGCAGAGGATCCGCTTTAAATAAGAAGACAACTACATTTCTCCTTCCCTTGGTTGGAAAAGGGTAAGAGAGGAGAGGATGGCTGTGCAGGAGTAGTGGGAGCTAGAGGCCAGAAAGCTAAGAGAATTCATAGTCTATAGTCTCTGCACGAAGGAGGGGAGCTCTGTTACTAAGCAAATGGGGATGCTGGGGAAAGTGGGGAATAGGAATGCCAGAAATTCTGAGAAGGGCTGCTGGACTTGAAAGCAAGTGTCCCTCCTAGATGACACTAACGTCATACAGGAACAGAATCAAGTGCATTAAAGAAAAGAATACTTTCTTTGTAGAAGGGTGATGGAGGTGTATCTGAACTTTATCTAAATGTTTTATTTTTTACACAGTTTTACATAATCAGTGTTTATATCACATATTTTACCAATTGAGAAAAAGATACCTTAAAATAAACTGCACAAATTATACAGCTTAGAAATAGCTCTTTGGGGGTCTTGTTTGATATAGGATGATGGAAGCAGGGTGCCGTCCCTGCCCACGAGACTCTAGGGCACTGACACATGTGGGCAGCTATTTACTAATATGGGTGTATTTTGATATTACCTGTCTTAAAAAGATGAAATCAGAATGTAATGGGCCTTCAAAATAGGAAACTGAAAGTCAAAATGTGCATGTTGGGGATTCTCTCTGCTTGGGAGGATGCTAAGAATGAACTAGGGTGGGATCTGGGAGCCGGAGTCTGAAGCCCTAGATTATAACAGAGTGACTTTTGCTTGCAATGCCCTGTAATGTAGTCAATATTCCCCAGAGATCTGCAGCTGGTCAGCCTTCAGGGAATCAAAATTATTGATGTCTTTACAACAGACACTCATTAAGTGACATATTCCATGTGTCACTTTTTTTCTTTATAGGATTTTTAGACTAAATGGCCTTAGACTTTTGTTTTCTCTTGTTCTTTCCTGTCTTCTCTTGTTCTCCAAGGCTGTCAGCTCTTTCTCCTTCCTTACTCCCTTTGCAAGTCACTAATTTTAAGTTGCGGAGGAGAAGGTCTAGTAAGAGCCCTTAGCTAGCACTGCATGTAAAGCAAGAAAATGTGTCATCTATCTTCCTCTTAAAGACCCTTTTTAAAAAAAATAAATTTCTGGGTTCTTGGCTGTGTTTCCCACAGTTGAGGCTGATGGGTGGTCTTGTGACAGATGAGGGTCAATAGCACCTTACTTTATTCTAGGACATCTTCTCATCCCTAGTTACTGTTTCTTACAAGAAGAAGGCATGTCAGTTTCTGTTTACTGTATGACCTTAATGACATACACTGGCTTTTCAAAGTGGGAAACTGACCCAAACCTTTATAAACAGCACTATTTCCTCCTTAGAGTTATTTAAAAAAATCACTTGATGAAAAAAAAAAAAGACTCCTTTGGGGAAAGTGTTGTGGTAAGAAAATAAAAAAGAATAATAACTTCAGTATATAACAGTATTAGTGAGATCAGGGACAGCCCTGAGAAAAGCAACTTCGTAAGCTGGGCGGCATGTATTTTTTCTCAGCCACCTCCAAAGCTCCCGGTACGTCTTGACAAATGGAAGTGACAGAGTGATACAGCATGAATTATTCGTAAACAAAAGGCATAGCGAATGGCATTAAAAATGGTTTTAAAAACCTCTCCTCTTTTGCAGCTGGAAAAAAGATGACTTTGGGACCTCTTTTCATTGTGAACAACTCCTTTCACATTAATCACTTTCAAAACAGAGATGAAAGATTGGACTAATTAATGGACCCCAACAGAGTCTGTCATGAGAAGGTACTTGTCACAACAAGGATGCAAAGGACACATAGGCAGGGAAGTGGGGGGGCTTCTGGAGGGGCCACGCGGCACAGGCCAAGGGACGTGTTTCCTGGGCACTGACCTAGGTAAAAACTGAAGCCATTCTCAAGTAGGCCTACAAGTACACTGACCCTGGCTTCCGTCAGAAAATGAGGATGTCTTCTTCTCATCAGGTTTCTGAGATTTACACCTGTAGTTAATGTCAGTAAAAGAAATAATGGAAAAGAAATCCATGCTATTGGAAGATAAAAGAAAAATTCAGCCTAAAAGAAAAATTCAGCCTATCTTCATTATCCCCTCAAAGCCGTAACACTATCTCTAGAAATAAGCATGAATGCAAACAGCGATGGAGCATGCCTGCAAAGCCTGCTGCAAAGGTAAACTAGGTCGGAGGCGAGAAGAACATTAGGGGAAATGAAATTTAGTTACGGAAGGTGGGAATGACATTTCAGCTGCTGCTCTTCATCTGGGAGGCTATGACGAAGCAGTGCTCCAGTACGGAACTGAGTGATGAGGGGAGGGAACAGATGATCAAAACCAAACTGAAGGAATGTAGGCAGGCAGGCACGCAGCTGGGCAGGAAAGGCTTCTTCTCCCCACACCACCTTTTTTTTTTTTTTTTTTTACCATTTTTATCTTTAGGGTAACCAGAATGTACTCTTTTAAGTAACCTATTTTTGTCTCACCAAGATAGCTTAATTTTGATCCAAAAGATTTGAAATTCAGAATTTTGGTCCTAATTTCACCATTTCATTTAAAGTACTCTGACTTATGCTATTAAGTCAAGAGAAGAGAATACAGAAATTGGCTATTCTTATTAGCAACAAGTACATGAAATTTTGTAGGGGTTTCTTATAAAAAAAAGTGGGGAGGGGATACTTAAAAAAGAAGTATATTTATTATAAAGGTAATCCCTTCTTGCCTTGTTATTTAGTTAAATCTGGTCAAAACTACTTGTGGCCTTAAGATACTTGAAGAAAAGTCTGTAGCACACAGAGAGGTTTGGTTATGGTTACACGGCAGTACGGACACCGCGCTGGCCCACCTCACAAACGAACACATTCCCAGTCAGGGAGAAACAGCTCTACAAGTACAGCTGAGTTAGAGGGGTACAAAGCCTGGCTGTCTGGAAGTATTAATATTAGTTGAGACTTAGTTTTGAGGAATTGTGGGTCATAATGTAGATGGGTCCGAGGGGTTTCTTTTGTCTCTCTGTTTTCAGTTGGCTATGTATAAAGTGGATACAGAGATTATCTGTCACTTAGCTGTGGATTTTTAATACACAACCAAGTTGATTTATTTTCCTATTATACATCATTTCGAAGTACTGATTCACTATGTTGATTTTTTTTTACTACTGATATTTGAATGCAATATACTTATTCATCCAAGTAATGAAACCCAACTTTCAAAGTAGAAATGTTTTAAGCTGTGGCATGTGATGTTTTTAAACTTTAACCATGATTCAGTTTAGAGGTAAAGTTTGCATTAGAGCTTATAAGAAAAGAATTATACACTACCATGTACTGTTAGAACAGAAACACAGGTTCTGGTGTCAATGTTCTGTTCTAAGCTGCAAGAGTGCCCCCTAACCCTTAGCCGTCAAAACAGGAATCAGGCGGTGTAAACATCAAAGTTCTCAAGGCATTCCCTTTATTTATTTTTATATCACAAGGTACACATTGTATAATAATAAATGTAACTATTAATTCAAAAATACTTCCCATTTCAAAATATGGGTGTTTAAAGTATTAGAAAACCTATCATTTTAATGTTTAGACTTCTAAGTTATCAAAAAGACATATGCACCCCTATGTTTATTACAGCACCATTTTCAGTAGCCAAGATATGGAAGCAACCTAAGTGTCCATCAGTACATGAATGGATAAAGAATAAGTGGTACATATACACAATGGAATACTATTCAGCCGTAAGAAAGAAAGAAATCCTACCATTTGCAACAACATGGATGGAGCTGGAGGATATTATGCTCAGTGAGATAAGCCAGGCAGAGAAAGACAAGTACCAAATGATTTCCCTCATTTGTGGAGTATAACAATGAAGCAAAACTGAAGGAACAAAACAGCACCAGACTCACAAACTCCAAGAGGAGTTTGTGAGTTACCAAAGGGGAGGGGTGGGGGAGGGCAAGTGTGGAGGGAAAGATAAGAGCAGCAATCAATGGAATAGAAGAAGAACAACAGAGAAAATCTTTTACTACAGCTTTAAAAAGGGTTTTAACTATATAGTTCAATCATTTCTTGTGCATTGTAGCCAAACCTTTTTGCTGGTATACTATATAATACTTCCATTCATAATGTAATGTGTGTTAACGGTAAACTTCTTTACAGGCCATTTTTACAACCAAGCCAAAAAGAAATTCATATTTCCTTCCTTATGTTACTTGGTTTAATTGGATCGTCTTTTTCTAGTTTCTTCAAGTGGAAGCTTGGCTCACTGATTTAAGACCTTTTTTTCATTTCCTAAAATAAGATTTTAATGGGATAGATTCCACACTCCATTGTTTTTTGATATGTTGTATTTTTCTTTTCATTCAGTTCAAAATACTTTCTGATGTCCCTTGTGATATCTTCCTTAATCCTTGATTTGTTTAGCAGTAAATTGTTTAAATATGTGGGAACTTTTTCAGTACGTTATTGATTCTGAATTTAATTTTTGTGGTAAAAGGATATGCTTTGCATGATTGCAATCTTTTTACATTATTGACACTTGTTTCATGGCCCAGAATATTGTCTATCTTGGTGAATCATCCATGTACACTTGGTATGTGCACTCAACTGTTGCTGAATAGAAACATTATCAATTATGTCAAACTGGTTAATACTGCTGTTCAAAGTCTTCTAATTTGCTATTGTGTATTTGTCTATTCTATCATCGAGACGAATGTGGAGATCTCCACGTATAACTGTGGATTTGTCTATTTCACTTTTCAGTTCAGTTACTTTATATATTCTGAACCTCTGCTATGTAGTTTTAAATTATGTCCTCTTGATGAATTTTACATTTTCCTCCCCCCAAAATTCCTTGTTCAGAAAACTGTTTAATATAAATATAGCTACTCTAATTTTCTTTCAATTTGTATATGCATGGCAAATCTTTTTCTTTTTACCTTTCTGGGTCTCCATATTAAAAGTGTTTTTTTGTGAATAGCGTATAGTTGGATCTTGCTTTTTTATCCAATATGACAACCTCTGCCTTAGTGGGGTGTTTGGGTCATTTCCATTTAACGTAACTATCAATATGATTGGGTTTAAATCTGCTGTCTTGCTTTTGTTTTCTGTATATTCCATTTATTATTTGTTCCTTTTTCTCTCTTTTCTTGTTTCTGGATGAATAACACTTTTTTATCAGTCTATTTAATCTCCACTATAATAGCTTATAACTATTTTTATTTTCTGGAGTGTGGCCTAAGATCTATACATCTTTACCCTATGCACCTACCTTCAAACAATATTATACCACTTCATGTATTGTGAAGGAATCTTTATGTATACTTACAGTATACTGACACTCTTCCCACCCCATTCTTCAAGTTATTGTCATACATTTTACTTGTATAAATACATAATATACTATTTTGCTTTAAACAATTATCTTTTAAAAACATTAAAATGAAGGAAACAACATCTTTTGTCCTTACCTACATGTTTACCATTCCTGGCATTCTTTATTCTTTTGTACAGATCTAAATTTCCAATTGATAATATTTTCCTTTTGTCTGAAGAACTTCCTTTAAATATTCTTGTAGTATAGGTCTCCTGGTGATGATTTCACTCAGTTTCTCTTTGTTTAAGAAACAAATACTTTTTAGTCTCCATTTTTGAAAAATATTTTTGCTAGATACAGATTCTAAGTTGACAAGTTGTTTTTGGGTACCTTGAAAGATGTGACTCCATTGTCTTGCATCGTTTCTCGTGAGAATTTTCGTGTCATTCTTTATTCATGTATATGTTTTATGTATTCTCCCCCCTCTTTCCCCACTGCTTCTAAAAAAACTGGTATGTAAGAGTATTGATGACAAACAAAAATAATTTGTTTCATCACTTGACACATTTTTCCTACACTGAAATAATCTTTAATTAAAGCTAATAAAGAGAACAGTAGTATAAAAATTTTTCTTTTAAAAAGGACGTGCAAGAGTGTGCACATTTAATGTCCTACAAAGCCATAAAACTATAAACACATGAAGCTAGAATGTGAAAATAAAATTCAAGAGAAACTGAACACATGTGTAATTGCTAGAACCGAGAGATATCCTCTACACATTTTGATAGAGTATGTGAGGGAAGAACAATTTTACCTCTTAGGCTGAGGCTAAGTACCATTTTAAGAACACAACTATTCTTTCCTATAACCTAGATTTGTTTCTTTCTGGCTGCTCTTACGATTATCTCTTTAGCACTCATTTTAGCAATTTGGTTATGATGTGCCATGGTGTTTACTTCATATTTTTTTCTATTTGGAGTTCACTGCACTTCTTGGATCTCAACAAATTTATAAATTTTTTAGTCATTATATATTCAGACTGTTTTGTTCCCTGGCCCCCTACCACTGCTCCTTCTAACTTCAATTACATTTTTAAGTTACATTGCTTGATAGTACCCTACTGGTCACTGATGTTTTTTTAAATTCTATCCTTCATTTTGGATATTTTCAATTTCCATGTTTTCCAGTTCACTAATCTTTTCTTCTGTTGTGCTTAATATTCCATTAATACCATCCAATGTGTCTTTCATTTCAGATATATTTTTAATCTCTAGAGATTTCACTTAGATTGTTTTATTTATTTGTATTTTTTTACAATTTTTTTATTAAGGTATTATTGATATACAGTCTTAATGAAGGTTTCACATGAAAAACAATGTGGTTACTACATTCACCCATATTGTCGAATCCCCCCCACACCCCATTACAGTCACTGTCCATCAGTGTAGTAAGATGCCACAGAGTCACTA